CGCTTTACACCACCACTGACACTTGTACTTGCCTTTGAAGCCATAGCTGGGGTTAAATATGTCCAAAACAAGCTGAGAATTACACAAAATCAAGAAGCTACCACCAGCAACTGCAGAATAAACAAAGCGAGCGCGGTTAACACGTAATGCCATCTGTGGGCAGCCCAGTAAACTAATCTGGAGGTCAAGGGAATTTTGTCCTGGTTAAAAGAGGTGCCGGACCATCCGTTGCCGGAAAATCGGTGGAGTACCTGTAATTAAGTCCCTAACTTGGTCTTTTTGTGTTTGTATATTAGTGTCAAAGTATTTATGTTTAGAGTACACCCACCTCTCGTTTTACGCGGGGGTCACGTTCTTGAAAACCACCGCTTAATTAAAAACTTCTTAAATTAAACATAAATTTCCCATAAGAATACATGTAAATGGTACAGGTTAAGGGAACCATCATATACCACACAGGGTACGAACAGTGCTCTCACTTAAACCAAGCATGCGGCCAACACACACATACTCCTCTCTGAAGGCCGGTGATCACATTTAATTTCACGTCCCATTGTGATTGTTTTTCGTGCCTTTTTAGCTTTAGGCGTCCCAGAGGCAGATGGGTGTTTTACAGACATGGTCAATGGGGGAAACGGCGTTTAACACTAAAAAGGTACGTGATAAACACAATGCAAATTGGAGCACAGAGAAGTAGTAGTGCTGGTGTGAACTGAGAAAGTGATACCCGGGAAGCTTGCTGGACGTGGTCAAAGTTTTTGTACAGAATACTTCATTATCTTCACCATTAGAAGTAATTATCTTTATTATTACATTATTATAATTATTATTATTAATAATATAAAATTGTTGATGTTGATATGACTGCAACTTTATAGTCATAACTTACAAGTACCTCACCAGGCATCACACGCGACTCCACTGCCAGACGACCAGGTGAATACACGATGCAAATTTAAACTGTCTTGAGCGCGTTATTTAAAAAATAGGTGCGTTTAAATTAGCTTTTGGTATTAACTGAACAATCACGTTGTTCCAAAAACGCTTAAATCAAACGCACGTAAAACGAGTTACCTGTATATAAAGTAAAAGAATAATATCATTTTAACACCTGTGCTGAACCGATATTCCAGCTCAGGAGTGCCACAAGAAACGTGAAGATTAGTTATTACAGAAAAACAAAAAAAATTTAACCCAAAGTTGATTGTAAATACATAATGCCGCTCAGTCTCATATTTTCTCTCTTAATTATATTATATTAATAACTTTAAGCTTTGCATAAATCATTGTTTATCAATTTTGATACCTTACAAATACTACTTTCTTTTTTACTTTTTCTACTTGTGTGTTTCACTTCAATTAATTTAACTTTTGTTTTGTTTTTAAGTAGTTTTGAAGAAAGCTACTTTATACAAATTTTAATTTGTTCAAAGCAACAGTGTAGTACTGTACTTTATTTTAAGTAATACTTCCAGGTACTTTCTCCATCACTGTTTAAAGCGGATCTGAATTGAGCTGGACCTGATGTGAACTAGACTAAAGTGGGCTGGACGTGCAAGTGAAGGAGATCTGAAGTTAACTGGACCTAAAGGACTAGATAGTAATTAATTACTATTTTCTGGTACTTTGAATATTAGGATGGTTCTACAGGCATTCCCCAGTTTATAAGAGAGTTCTGTTCCTGAAAAACCTTTAGTAAATCAGATAAATTTTCCCATAGACTTCCATTATAAAAGCCGAGATACTTTTCTATAATGAAAATACTAACCCAAAATGTCTTAACCCTTAAGCCCCGGGTGACGTTCCAGAACGTCTGCCTATTTTCCCATGACACAGAAGTGAGAGTTAACACTGTGGTGTTAATAACTTTACTAAAGTGAGGATATTACTTCAATAATTATGTAAGAGATAAAATCACAAAGTAACTTCATGAAATTACCGTTTACTGTATCTTAAAGTATAGTTAAGTCTTAATGATCAAATTTTTATGTAAAAAATTGGGGTCAAACTATACATGCATAATATTTTTGAGGGGTTACAATTTATGCATTTCCATGGGTCATTTACAGTGAATGATAGTACCTGGTGCAGTACGCGCTTATGGTAGGTTAACCTTACCAGTAAGCTCCTTTATCCTGGGCTTGCCTACCGACCCCAAGATCCTATGTGGCTACAGGAAGAGCAGAACCTTTCACTATACAGTATATGCTGGTTTAAATATACAAATGCCTGATAGAATTGGTTTAGATATTTTTCTTTGCATCTGTTTAAATTACTGGGAGATTATCAACTTTCCCCACCTGTGAGCTGTATGCTATGTTATGGTCAGAGTGAGGGAAGATTGGACTAAAGTTAATTGAGAGGGAAGACTGCTGGAGACATAATTGAAGAGTATTACAGTGAGGGTGGGAAGGCTGGTGATATGAATTAAAACTATTCTCATGTAATGTATATGTGGGAGAAACTTGACTAGAACATAAGACTTTACTGTACTGTAGCAGAAGAAGAGTGAGGAAACACCTTAGGATAGACTGAAGTTTTATACAAGCAAAGGAAGGATATGTGCCACTTAATCTGCACTGGATTATTTTTTTAATTTCTTCCACATCCTAGGTTTAGGTTTCACTTCTTCAGAACTCAACCATAAAGAGAGTCACCTATCAACTGGAATCAACTGAATCTGACCATCTTTCCCCGACCTTTAGGACGGGGTCAGAAGTCTATTCTGGGAAGGATGTTTTTGGACCAGCATGCTTGTTTGTCCAGTGGTTCCAGGAGTCAGGATCCTCTTGAGGGAGAAACCTGGCCCTCAGACTTGGCATCAGCCAGGTTCAGGTGTAACGGGCCGAGTTTTCTCTTTTAATAATTTACCATTCAGATATTATTTTCTGTTAGTATTCTATTTATTCATATACTTATATGTTCGTTGTAGCATTCTTTCCAATGAGTATCCTGTTTTATATACTTATCCTTCTTCAATTCTTTACATATATACTTATTCTTATATATTCTTGCTTATATTCTTACATGTTCTTTATCTCTATATACCTTCTATTCTTATATATTCTTATATAAGTAACTCTTATGCTTCTCTGCTTATATTTTCCAAGTCAATGTTCTTCCTTTTCATTTCCTTTCATATATTATGATCTCATCCATATAGTTGGTTCTAGTTATATTCTAAACCATGGATTAACCTGGGAAACCATGTCTTTCTTATTACCACACTTATTATACTTACAACGGTAGACCTGCCACCACCCAGGATTTTTCTATAATATAACATATCTTAGTTAACTGTTGGGTAGCGAGCTTCTAGGCTTGTGAGTTAGTTATTTTCTGAGAACCAATGTGGGAAAGGATAAAGTGGTGATACTCGTAGATTACTAATTCAATATTTATTAACACAGTGATTGGATAAGATGCATCTTAGATTCACTCAGACAAAACAGAACTGCAATTTATTTATTAAGTCATCAAACACTTCAAGAACTTATTACCTCATTAAATACCTCCAAATACTTATTACTTCAATCGACAATTGTGGTATTATCACTCTGCCAAATGATATTCAGTACTGGGTATACACCAGATATCACTGGACCCTCAGGTCTTACCTTACCAAGTAGCAAATTAACTCTTCACTTCTTGGTTATATCATTATACTCTCAGATTATCATTTCATGGTCACTACCGATGAATACATAGCACACTGGACAACTCCACAATTATCGCAACATACAATACCTCCTGTTAATTCTCAAGGAACAACATGGCACTTTTAACTCTCATTCAGTGGTTCAATACTTAACCTGGGATACTATATTTCGGCTAGTTATCCCCCAAACAAGATACAATAATACTTAGGCCCATGTAACTGTGAGGAGTGCTCCAGGGTAACGCTGGTCTCTACAACAAATGAAGATCGCTGTTAGGGGTCGGTTGTAGACAGACACACGCCCAGGGAGCTGGTGCCTGATTTGCAGGAAACGGACTTCCCAGTTTAATCCTGTCGAATTAACGGCATCGTCCAACCCGGTTACCGACCCACGTTAGCCGATGAGTATTCAGCTCAACACACTGGAGAGACGTTGAGGAAGAGTCACGAATGCCTAAATGCCTAACTTCAACTATACAAAACATACGTCTGGCAACGGTTCAGACGATATCTAAATCTCTACGTTACTTGACTTAATTGGCACAGAATTCACTATGTTAACACCTGAACACTGATATTCACAAAATTGACCAAGTTAAACTGAATTAATAGGCGGCGGGGAACACACGTTAACATACCTGAAGACGTTGAGGAAGAGTCACAAATGCGTGATTCTCCCTCGTGTAGAGGTATATACGTGCACCAGCGGGGCAGCTTGGGCCTCCGTATTCATACCAGAAGGGTCGATCTTACCAACAACATAACTTCTCTACCATTTTGGATCACTGTAAACTTAGTTATGAACTCCAGTGTTCTTGATCAGGGTAATTTCCTATGTCTATTCATATAATCTAATCAGAGGTTGAGCTTGCCAGGAAAAGGTGGATTATACACGTCGATAACATTAATTCTGCAAGCTCAGGCCTGAGGCGAACAAGGAGCTATTCACGGGGAGGCGCTACATCTTGGAGATTATACCAGTTGACAGAATAGTTCAGGAAATTAATGACTTTCTCAAATAGACAACTGCCACTAACTAAACTATAAACATCAGATTCTCTGATGTTGGGGCGACAAAATGATATAACTTCAGGCGCGATCAGAAACTCATGGATACCCCCACGGACGACATGAAATACGCCACTCTAGCTGGCAAACTCGACACTCACTCACTTGACACGTTTTACTAACGATAAGGACAGTTGAAGCGTTCTACCCCACGCACAATGGATCTTGAATGTTCCCACTGTAAACAGACATATCTAGGTTGACTCAAAACAAGGGTGTTCTCTCTCACACTCAAATTCATTTTATAGAGAGGTTGGTTTCAATAAGTCAGAGAAAATGGGATAACGGAGGACTGAGGTGTCTTGAAGTGATGAGAAAACGGACTCCTCAGATGGAGGACTCAACGAAAGCCGAGTTATATGTTTTGTGGGCTATTGAGCGTAATATGAATCATTTGATTTTGGTGCTAACTGACGTGTAAGACCGTGGTCGTGACAACACCACCTGTGTTTTTTTACCAGGTATGATTGGTAATGAGTAATGTGCTGTATGAGTCGAGCACAGTATGATTAGTGGTGAGTCAAGAGCTGTATGAGTGATAGTGAGTCGAGCGCTGTATGAGTGATAGTGAGTCGAGCACAGTATGATTAGTAGTGAGTCAGGCACTGTGAGTAATCTACTGTGTGTATGATTGTTACTGTGTCATGTGCCATATCATCCCATCAATCATCCACCTCCTGTGTGTGAAATGGTGTACTTCCAGGTATCACATATCATGCTGAGTGTCTTGGGTCGTGCACAGTTGATGCTGTATGTGTTGCTTATATCATGTTTTGGGTATTTTGATGCTCTCTCTCTCTTTGTTTATCTTTCTCACACACACACATGCAAAAAAAAAAAAACCCTAAACTAACCTAACTTAGATACATAATGAGATCATTAAAAGTTGAAAGTCACCATCTCTTCTCTCAACAGGTTGGAGGGAGGCATAAAGGTCGAGCATGACAACCATTACTGGTGTTGGCTGGGCAGAAGCCGTCACTTGTGCACCAAGATGTCTTCACGTTTTAGCTCTGGTCTGTAGTCTCAAATGTAAAGTATGTTGAATATTTCTCCTAAGTTAAGATGCAAGGTTGTATCTGATTGTGTGATTCAAGGTGATGGAATCTCAAAGGTATGTTGAATATTTCTTATAAATTAAGATGTAAAAATGTATCTGATTGGTGACATAAGATACAACATTGGTCAAGGATGAGTTGTCCTAATTTATTTAGTATGGATCAGGAAGCTGATTCTAGGACTGTAGTTAGCCTGATTAAAACTCGGGCCTTCGTTGATGAGCAGCAGCAATTTGACAGTAATTACATAAGATCATCGGAATCGTCTTAGTGATGTGCAAACCGATAAAGGATTTTTTAATGCTAGATGCGATTGTATTTTTTAAAACTCAATCTCCACTGAGTTGGAGGTACAGCCCAGGTCAAGAGGCCTACAACCACAAAATCTTTGTCATAAGACAATTTTTTTTTTTTTTACGGAGTTGTGGTCACTGCTGTGATTAGCCACCCAAAGGTCAACCAGGGAGTGTAGTACTGTGCCTTTAGTTAAATCAGTTGATAGTGTCATCAGTGACTGCGGAAGAGGTTGTAAATACCTAGAGTGAATACAAATTGGCAAGCAAGCTGTTAAGGCACCACTGCCACAGAGACTTTTATTTTGTATTTGTGCTCTCTCAATGACTGAAACTGTGCCTAACACCATTCACAGGGAGATACAATAAGTACTTTCAGAATAACACATAAATGCCTAAATCATTCCTTGGAAACCAATAGTTGATAAGTAATTAGCACTGCCCTGTGGTACCCCTTTTGTGACAGGTACAGATAATGATTTAGTGCCATTAATCACCACACACTGCTTGCAGTCATATAGAAAGTCTTCTATCCACGCTAGGATATTTCCCCAAATACCGTACCCTTCCAGTTTGATTTTCAGCCTTTCATGGGGTACACTGTTGAAAGCCTTGGCAAAATCTAGGTATATGTTATCGATATTACCACCCTGTTCCAGAATATGGGTCCAAATATCCAATACTTTGAGCAATTGTGTTAAGCAGGAATGCCCCGGCATAAAACCATGTTGGCAATCCTCTACAAGGTTGTTTTGTAGTAGCTGTTCCATTACGGCATCTCTGATAGTACTCTCAAGTATTTTACATATTATGCTGGTCAGGCTCACCCCTCTATAGTTGTTCGTGGAGTGACGATCACCCTTCTTGAGTATAGGACTCGCATAAACCACTTTCCAATCACTGGGGACCTTTTGTTCATCCAGGCATTTACAAAACAGGATCTTTAGGGGCTCGGCAAGCTTGTTGCACAACTCTCTTAGCACTCTGGGATGCACAATGTCAGGGCCAGGACTCTTATGGACCTTCAGCTTTGACAGTTTATTTCTAATACCCTCTTCTGTGAACATAATGTGGGTCACTGCTGTGTCGAACCGTTTGTCACCAAACGCAGGAAGGTTAATCGCATCCTCTCCTGTGAACACCGAGGAAAAGAAGCTGTTCAATGTCTCGGCTTTATCCTAGTCAGAATCTGCGTAACTACCATCTTCAAGCCTCAGGTCTGATACTCCTACTCGCATTTTTAATTTCGACTTTGCATAGCGGTAAAACGCCTTTGGATTTGTCTTGACCTCACTTGCAACCAGCCTCTGGAACTCCTTTTCAGCCCTTCTACACCTACCTTTGCTTGTTTTCTGGCTCTTGCATACATCCTCCTGTCCTGCTCATCGCATGACCCAACCTACGTCTTGAATTCTGAGTTTTCTTCTTAACTTTATCGACCGCCTCATGGTTCATGTGTAGGGACCCCCTCATATTCCTAGAGGCACTGGGTTTGGTCTTGGGTATATATTTATAGATCAAATGGGTCACTTTACTAGTTATGATATTCAGCGTAGTGTATGTGTTCTTGTGCCTCAATGAGTTGGGCCAGTGGATTCCCCTCATCTCTTCCCTCATCCCATTGTAATTTCCCTTGTAATATTTGCACCTTGGCCTGGCCTTATCTTGAACTAGGTAACAGTTAAATCTGAATGACAACACTATGTGGTGACTGGTGCCAACTGGGGCAAGATGTTCCAGTTTGGCCACCATACCCTCCTCATTTGTTATGATGAGGTCTAGTGGCTTGGGTGTTTGCTCCCCTCTGTAATGTATCGGGTCTCTAACATGATGGAACAGAAAATTATCTCTCAGAGTTTCTAAAAAAAGAGTAACAGGGTTATTCAAGTCATTTCGGGTGAACTCGTTTTTCCAGTCTGTGTCGCCATAGTTAAAGTACACATGATATGGAGGTGGCTAGGGTTGAGCATTGCTGCAGTGTCTATTAAGGCTCTTAAGTTCCTTTGATTTAGTGGGCCACAGTTTGGGGATCTGTAGATACACCTGACGATAAGTAATTTAATTTTACACCATTTGGACTCTTCAAAAACATCCTCTCCCTGTACTCTCACCTGGCTGACTCTAAGGTCTTGCCTAGCATAGATAACCACACCCCTCTTGCAAGTTTTTTGAGAAAGGATCGTAAATGAGTCATATCCAGCTATACTGAACTCGCATTCCTCTGGGTCGATTCTCCTGTTCTTGTACTAACAGGGGCCGGATACTCAAAAACATTTATGGGGATGTATGTCGTTGTGTACCCCGTAACTGGACATACAGTCTCAGATTGGCATACTCAAAACACAGATGGTATACTCAAAACAAATATTTGACATCGAACTCCGCAAGTTAAAGTGCGTAACTTACACCAGCTCCTGAGGTTGTGTAACACTCTCAACCCGGATGTAGTAGTGACTAATTCCCTATTGTATAAAAAATAATAATAATATATGTTGTAATGTTGACTTGGTTTATCATAGAATAATGAAGAAAATATTTTGTACACCAACATACTGAAATATAATATTTCACTTTGTCTTTTTCGTAACTTTTTTGTTGCCATAATAAGCGGCTTGAGTGTTTGTATTTGTCTCAGTTTGGAAGAGACGCATCTTTTGTCTTCTTACAAATTATAAAGTATTTTTTACCAAAACAGAAGGTTTGTATTGTTCACACTTAGGGTAAAAATATGTTTTATGACTGAGTAAACTTGCAGATAGAACTTATTAATGTTGTATAGCCGTAAATATCCCTCAGTAATGAAAGCCAATATGAGGTGAAGTGAACATTCCTGCCAAGATTTCACCTGTTTTTCTAATATTCAACCAATAGTCTTAGCTTATTTTCTTATGTATATGGCTTATGATAACATGAAAGGCTATAAATTTCCATAGGCTAGCCAAAATTAAACGATATTAGGCGTAACATGTGGATTGCAATTAACTTGATTAATAGGGGCCTATATAACTCTTTTTCAGTCTTAGACAAATAAATGTTTAAACGTGGGGCCTACTTAATTTAGTTAAAACATGAGGATTATTTAAATAAGAAATTATACCAATAGGTTATAGGTTAGAGAGGTTTGGTTTGGTTATGTTATGTTATGGTATGTTAGGTTAGGTTAGAGAATGTGTACATGGTTTTTTGGTGAGTGTCAGGCCGTCAGTGAGACACTTTGTCTAGCAGCTACCTTAGGCCTAGTTCCAGACTTTCAACATTATCATAGGTAGAGTATTAATTTAAGAAAATTTACGGCTAATCCGATATAATTTCAGGTTTTAAATTGTTGTTTTTTGTATGAACTTGAAGACAATTCAGACCAAATGTCCCCAACATTGAAAGGAAAACACCAGGGTCTAGGCTAAATGAGTAATTTAAGAGAAGTGATTTGTCATTTAGGTTCGGCAAAGCTATGTTATCAATAACCAATTTATTTGAATTTGCCCAGAATAGTGTATACTTCAGCCTCACTGAAATTAGGCCGTCTCTTCTTGGCTGGTGTTCCTTCCATGTTTACAAAATAATATATGTGCGTCGCTCTCAGCTGATTTCTCCTTCTCTTGTGATTGGTTGATGATTTTGTTAACTGAGCGCTGATTGGCCAACTAGCTCCTGCACTGACATCTACCTTCCGACAAGAGAACTTAATTTACAGGGTAAACACTAGAGTTATGAATACTTACGAAAGGCTTACGGAACTGTAATTAAATTTTGAGTATGCTAAATTTACGGTACTGTAAAGATTCGACAATATATGGTACTGTATCATGCTAAAAGACGTAACTTATGAGGTGTTTTGAGTATCCGGCCCCAGTTCTACAACTCCTACAATATCTGGTTGGTGTACCTTCAGTAGTGTTTCAAACTCCTCTCTCTTATCAAGAAACATGTCAGAATTAGTGTACATAACATTCGAGCCAGAATTTGTTCTCGGTAATGTGTCTGCTCTTAGTAGCAACACCCCCCCCCCCCCATTCTCAAAAGCTGCAGCATTTGCTAAGTACACTGTATGTCATTGTTTACACCGTGCTCGCCTCCTCCGGGTGGGGGGTAGAGCGGGTGGAGGGTGCGCTGTTGACACACTTGCTTCCACTATCCTCTCCCCGTTCCTCCTCGACTCATCCCTTCTCTGCTTCAAGCCCTGCAGGAGCTTCCTGTGCTGTTCCCTCTGCATTACCGTGCATTCTGGGTGAATGAATACACTCCAAGATGCCTCGCTCCTTGCTAAGTTTTTTGCCTGCCGAATAACCTTCCATTTCTCCTCCTCACTCACTAGTGTGATCCTGAGGGGACCAGGCTTATCTCCCTGCTGTTGTCCCAGCCTCCTCACATCCTGGAGGGTTGATGGCATTTTCAGAACCTCTGTACAAATATTCTTAAACTACATCTTATCGTGTGTTATCTTACTCTAAGTTCCCTCCGCCTGGCTCTCAGGGACTCCAAAAACTATTACATTGTTCCTGCGCTGGAAACGTTCCAGTTGTTCCTCCTCTCCCCTAACAGTAGGTCCGTTAATTTCCATTTCTTCGACACACTGCTTCAGGGTTCCTAGCTGCTGTAGAACCTGTTCTGATCCTAAATTACTCTCCCCCACCTCCAGTAGCCCTGCTAATGCCTCGGCATAACTTCTCTTAACAACTACCTCCATTATATCGGCTACTTCCTCAGTCTTAGCAAGGATGTCTTTCCCAACTTGTCCTAGTTTGGCAACCAGCAAGGCTCTAGCGTCATCTATTTTCGTCCCTAGGGAACTCGTTCCCCTTTGGCTTGCAATCGCCTCTTTCACCTTGACTCTGCAGTCAGGGCAATACCAGCAACAGCCTTCATGCTTTACAGCAGCTTGCATCGTCCTAAATGTTGCATTAGTCAGGCCTGTATCATCCATATCTGTTATCCCCGCATTAATCTCATATCATACTCATGGTTGTTGTTGTTGGGGGGGGGGTGCAGACTGTGTATAGATCTACATTTATTTAAGAATAAAGAAAAAAAACAGTACTTAGCTGCCCTCTGCTGGTTTTATCCTCCCCTGTTGCCTTTAGGGTTGTCTTCTCTTATTTTTTTTCAGTTCACTTCTGCAATTTGTCAGTATTTACGTGCTATCTCTATGTACACTGCATTGTGCTATGACTAATGGATTTTATACACCCTTTCAGTCCTTAAGAAACCCAGAAAAATAAAATAAATCTTTCTTTGGGGCAGTAATAGACTGCCTTTTAGGATGGCCAAACTTGTTGTTTTTATTTTTATTTTTTTATTTTAACTATTATTTCCTTATACTACAGTACTTTCTTTTCCCGTTCACGTCTATATCTCTTGGTGCTATCACTGTGTACACTGTATCTCCCTGTGAATGGTGTATTGTAGGCACAGTTTCAGTCCATGAGAAAACACACAAGCAAAATTTTTGACCAAATATACTTTTCTCTCAGAATTGGAATTTAAGAGGTTTAACTAATTAGGTACATACAGAATAACACACACACCTAAATCTCACCTTGGAAACCCATAGCTGGCGAGTAATTAACATTGTGAACCTTGGTATTTTTTTCATTACCAGTTGGGATCAGGAGACTTTATGGAGAGATGAGTGATCCAGAGACCATTAGCCTGGTCCAGGGGTCAGCAGTCTGTTGGTCTTAGGACCAGTATTAATCTGGTTTAGGGACCCCCCTTTATTTTTCTAAATTAGTGTAATGTCTGAAATGTTTAGCCTAATTATAGGTCAAGGATAAGTTGTCCTAATTTATTTAGTATGGATCAGGAAGCTAATTCTAGGACTGTAGTTAGCCTGATTAAAACTGCACAGCTTGTTACCTCAAAATACCATGTGCATTGGGTATGTGTGGCCTCCCTCACAGGTTCACTGTCAAATCTCTCATCTGGAAGTTTTTGACCAGAGAACTGGAAGAGAATTCTCTCTGGAGGAAAGAACTTCAGATGACCCTTACCTCTTAGCTCAGAGATCAGGTTATTTTGCTAGGAGGTGCCTTTTGCTTGGACCAGCATTAGTTGTGCAGAGAGGTGCTGGTAGCCTAAGGGATGGTCGTGCACCAACTAGTGTTTAATAAAGTCATCATACAAATTTATATTTGTTCATCATGTACTACAAATACACAATGTAAGTCCACTAAACCAAGGATAATTTAGGAAGGACATCCAAAGATTATTTCCATTAAAGTATGGGATAAATAAATCGTTAGTTAGTCATTAAAATTACCATCCAAGTTCACATTGGCTCTTGTGTTGTGAAGGTGTAAATATTAACTAACTCCTTGTAATTCTGCACTAATACACTTGTCACATACATACATACACACCATTGTTAAGTATTTTATCTAAGTGCCATACATATGGTGTATCTTGATATTTCTGTAATAAGTTGTACTTGACACAGGAGGAGACGTCTGGTCCTGCAGCAACACAGCACAGCACCTTATATCACGGCTCCTGTACAGAAGAAAACTTATCTACTGATTCTTGGCAGATTATGTTACCATTTGAGGTGAACTGAAGCCTTGATGTAATAGTGATTGAAGACTACAGTACAGGAGGAGAGAGAGTGTTATCTGGCATTGGTATTAAAATAGTTAGCAACTGTGTGTTAATAACTTACAGGGTTCAGTTTAACACAGATAGGCTCATCATATATTTTAATAAAGTACAGGTATCCCCCAAGATACTTACAGTATGTCCAATAAATGAACAATCATTATTACAAAAATATCAGTTTGACTTGACAAATTCCCCTCAGTCACAGGGTCAGTATAGCCCAGTGGTGCATTGGCACTATTGCAGAATGTTGGTTGTGTTTAATGTATTTATTATTTTACAAGAATTATATTGGTGAAAAACCCACCAGTTGACTGATTTTTCCCTCCCAGAACATAATACAAGAGTTGTACCATTCAATATGTTTTTTAACTTAGAACCCTTAGTGCTATACAGTATGTTAGAGGATACCTGTACATGTAAATTAATGTACAGTACTGTAGGTTCACCTGTTGGGGAAGTGAAGGCAGTGTTAATCACAAGGTTCAGTATACAGTACACTGCTCTTAATGGACCATCATGCTTGTGTGGATTAACCAAACACTACTTAACAAAGTTCATTTAAGTTGTAGTGGAAAAATAATTAATTTGCAGAACTTGACATGAAGTATTTATGAAAAATGATTCAATGTGTACATAATGTGAGGTGCCTGGTGGAAGAGTGATGTATGTGCCAAGACCACAAGCAAGGTTAAAGTTTGTTTACACTGTATCCCACCACACTTATAGTTTTATACTGTATATCCTCTGGCAACTGTTGAAACAAACATCTTGCTTGACCACTAACTCGCTTCCACCGAGTGCCTCATACATTTGTGTTTTTCACAACTGTATTGTACTATATTGTATTGTACTATATTATATTGTACTGTACTATATTGTATTGTACTGTACTATATTACTGTATATTGTATTGTACTTTACTATAATATATTGTACTGTACTATATTACTGTATATTGTATTGTACTTTACTATATTATATTGTACTGTACTATATTGTATTGTACTGTACTATATTGTATTGTACTGTACTGTATTGTATTGTACTGTACTATATTGTACTGTACTGTACTATATTGTATTGTACTGTACTATATTGTATTGTACTGTACTATATTGTACTGTACTGTACTATATTGTACTGTACTGTACTATATTGTATTGTACCATACTGTACTATATTGTATTGTACTGTACTATATTGTATTGTATTGTACTATATTGTACTGTACTGTACTATATTGTATTGTACTATATTATATTGTACTGTACCATACTGTACTATATTGTATTGTACTGTACTATATTGTATTGTACTGCACTGTACTATAATGTACTGTACTGTGTTTTATTGTACTGTATTGTACTATATTGTATTGTATTATATTATACTGTACTATATTGTACTGTACTGTGCTATATTGTACTGTACTATATTGTATTGTACTGTACTATATTCTATTGTACTGTACTATATTATACTGTACTGTTCTATATTGTTTTGTAGTATATTGTATTGTGCTGTACTTTATTATACTGTACTATATTGTATTGTACTATATTCTATTGTAGTGTATTGTACTATGCTGTGCTGTACTATATTTTATTGTACTGTACTATACTGTATTTTATTGTACTGTTCTGTATTATACTGTTGGGTACTGTACAGCCACTCCTTGACTTACGAGAGGGTTAGGGACCCAAATCCAGGTCGAAAATGCTAAGATACGTAGAAAATCTAAAATGGGTGTCTCTTTTTCTTCTCAGCACCACAAAACTCTCATTTTTAAGCATGCCAACCATTTTGAAGGGAATTACAAACGAAAATTTTGTCAGTACACAGCGCAATCACTAAAGTCGGGACTCAAAAATACGTAATTTGAAAAAAAATTTGGTACGACCGAGGCGGTTGTATGTCCAGTAGGTCGTAATTCGAGGAGTAGCTGTATATTGTAGCCTTGAAGTGTACCAACTATATAGTCCTTGGTACCAGAATTGTGCATTTTATGTACCAAGGCTATATAGTCTTGCATGCCTAGAAGTGCTCATTTTGTGTACCTACAGTAGACTGTATAGCCTTGGTGCACTTTTACTAATACTACTTTTTTTTCTTCACCTTTATAGTTTTTTGTTTCACTTCAGTTAATTAAATTATTATTATTAAAGTAGTTTTGAAGAAGATTACAGGGGGCCCCCAATTTACGAACAGGTTCCGTTCCTTGTGACATTCTTTTTCGGATTTGTACTTAGGTCGGAACACGCGCCATGAGCATACCATACTTACAGAACAATGTTTAAAATCACACTATATCACAGCCTAAGTCCTTATATACATCTAAAATCAATTAATTTAAGACAAAAGCGAAATAGATTGACAATACAGTAAATGAAAGTAAAAAATATCATTTGATGATATATTGTAAATTTCATGTTTAACACCGTTCATATCGGCGGGGACTCCCTGTACTTTCTACAAGTTTTAATTTTTACATAGTAACAGTGCAGTACTTTGTCTTAAGTAATATTTTCATATACTTTCTCCCCCACTGGCTAAAATGGACCTGAATTGAGCTGGACCTGCAGTGAACTAGACCTGAAGTGAACTGGACTGTAATTACTATCTGGTATTTTATTTAATATTTTCTGGTACTTTTAATATTAGAAAGGTTCTACAGACATCCCTCAGTTTATAAAAGTTTTGTTCCTGAGAAACCTTTAGTAAATCACATCAATTTTTCCATAGACTCCCATTATAAAAGCCAAGATACTTTTCTGCGATGAAAATACTTCCCCCAAATGATGTACTGTACACAATGATTATAAGCCACTATAGGAGGAGCTCTACTGATGAATGAGTTATGTTCTGGAGGTTTGTTTGTGAGTCCAACTTTACTCTTGTAGATGTACAGTACAGTGGCCTGTAAGTTCACCTTTGAAGCTCCAATTTGTTTTCTTAAAACTAAGAGTCGTCTTATACAACGGGTATACAATGTCGATCTCTAAATACACTCCACCACTAGCACCAGATTTTCACTTTGCTGTACCGGCAGGTCTCGGTCACATAATTTCCAGCACTCGTAAATAAGTTTTACCTAACTGTAGCATTTTTCCAGAAGAGTAAATGTTACTGAACTCTGCTTAAGTTTAGTGTTTACACTAGTCACATTATGGGTGTCCCTACACACACCGACACCTTTCAAAATATCTTTCGATGTTAACTGCGATTTTTTACAAACAAACGTTACTGGGGCAATAACTTGTAATATTTGTTGTTAAATTTAAAAAAAAAAATGCCGTTATTGTATATTGATATAATGCTCCAGCATATTTATAAATGTTTACATGAATGTGGTGTAAAGTTGTTAACAAGACAGGCACCTGGGAACAGCTGGCTGGGCTGCAGCAGCTCGGTCAGTGAATGTCACTAGATTTATCGGCAAAATTGCTAAATACAAAAAAATCTGGAGAAATACCATTACATATAAGACGTTATCTAACACGAGAATTGTTAACAATGGCTTTGATAAATGCCAAAAAAACTGTCACAGGTGGCATTAAAGGTAGACGGCGTAAACAACGCTAAACTGGCAACTAGGAGGTCAACATATGAATGACCACTATCTCTGTTGTACAGTAGTCAGTATACTGCACATTATGTTCACACAGACTCAAGTACTAAGTACCATAGAATGTTGATGCACAGCTGGCACAAAATTAATGGTCGCTTTCCTATCTGTATACAACTGTTAGTACAGTGTATTTCCATATAGATATTCAATGAACAAATAATTGATGGGTCTTATCCCACAAAGGGTAGGTTAAGACAATATGAAACTCATCTTAATTGTGAAGTTAAACAGATTATAAGGATCGTCAGTTCATTTTCCTTCAGAATTATCAGTGAAAATTATTTTTGGATCACCTCTGGCTTATTTAACCTTAAGATTAACCACCCTAACCTTACCTAACTTACTTAGTGTTAAGGTGCTTAATTCATCAGGTGATATTAATTGGGGGCTAATCTTCATGTGATCTTTGGTTTCTCTATCAAGCTCCTCAGATCAGCCATCACACCAGACCAGGACCAGGACCTGTACGAGAGAAGGAATACTGTGGTCTACCTTGCAGTATGTTATTGAGTTAGTTACTTTACAGTAGAAGTAAGTGGCCACACCAGTACTTAACAGATTATTTAACTATGTTGAGTTTTGGTGTTGCTGTGTTATTTGAACCTTTCTATAGATTTGTAAACTGACTAATGACTTTAGACGGTGTTTAAGATTAGGTTTCTAACAGTTAAAACTGTGGTTAAGTTGTGTGGAAGTGAGACAATGACTTAGCACTATGCTGAAGGTGTTTAAAAGTGAGAAAGTGACTTATAGTGAAGTTTGTAGAAGTGAGGATATTAGTTTAAAAAATTGTGTATGGGAGAAAAGACTAATTACCTTCATGAGATTTAGAGTATAGTTTAATTTTTATACAAGAAGTTGGAGGTCAATACTGTAGGCATAATATTTTTTAGGGATTAAAATTCTTCCTTTTCCGTGGATCATTTACAGTGAAAGGTACAGTGCAGAGTGAGAGAAGGCTGGTTGTATATTATGGTTGAGAGAGGAAAGGCTGTACTGTACTAAGTTAATGGATAGGGAAGACTGCCGGACGTATGACTGACGAGTATTACAGTAAAGGAGGGAAAGCTGTTGAGTGTATGACTTGAGATAATACAGTACTGAAGTTGTATGAGCAAGAGAAAAGGCTGGTGATGTGAATTAAAACTGTGCTGAAATAATGTATAATTGAGGGGAACTTGACTAGAATGTAAGATTTACTGTACTGAAGCAGATAAAGAGTGAGGGAGGACTGTAGACTAGACTGAAGTTTTATACAAGTGAAGGAAGGATTTGTATTACTTAATCTGCACTGGATTTCTTTCTTTCTTTCGTTTCTTCCACATCCTAGGTTAGGTTTTATTTCATCAGAGCCAACCATAAAGAGAGTCATCTATTAACTGCAGCTGACCCCACCATAGTTTCATCTATCAACTGCAGCTGACCCCAACATGAAGGACATTTCATCTATCAACTGGAATCAACTGCATCTGAACCCCTTTCCCCTACCCCTTTAGAGCGGGGGTCAGAAGTCTCTTCTGGGAAGTACCTTACTCTCTGGAGCATTATAACTCTGGGTTTATGGCTCGGACATTTCTGTATCTGGGATAAGGAGCTTCCTGGAGGAGGCGACTGGCCCTAGGAGCAGCAATTGCTGTATCTAGGTGTCAGCGTTAGGCTGCTTAGGTTCCCTTTT